AATCCTTGGCACTCAGACCACCATAACCAGCTGCTCGGGATCCCAGCAGCTCTTCAGTTGACAAGCCAGTGTCTACTTGATCTCTCGGTTCTGTCCTGTCTTGTTAAAAAATGCTCTCTGTGAATAAAACTTTTAGCTGTTCCCCATTTGGGAGTTAATCCTCATGGGCTTGCTCCTAATCATTTATGACAAATGGATGTCACCCATGTTCCTTCTTTTGGGCATATGCAATATGTTCACATAACCATGGATACATATTCTCATCTTATTTTTGCCTCAGCCCATACAGGAAAAAAATTATGGGATGTTAAAAGTCACTGTCTCTAGACTTTTGCCTACATGAGAGTTCCAAAAACTGTAAAAACTGAAATGGTCCAGCCTACACCAGCATTGGCTTTGCTAAATTTTGCTCTGGGTTCTCTATTTCTCATAAAACAGGAATACCTTAAAATCCTCAAGGACAAGCTATAGTGGAGCGAGCATATCATGTATCAGTGGCCTGCTCTCGAGATATCTTAAAATGAAATCTTAAAGACCCAGCATTGAGATGAAAATGATTATGAGCTTTTTTTGTAGCTTTATAATATTTTTGACTAACTGTACAAATTTGGCAAGTAAGCTGATCAGCCAATGCATTCCCCTTGCTCATGAGACCAGGTAGACCAGTATGATCCCACAAATGTCCTACATAAAAGGGAACAGATTGGGTCCAAAGCAATGTCTGAATAGCCAATAAATGCATCTGGACTCGAGATACAGAGTCAATATAAGCTGTAGTCTTCAAAGGTGCAAGAAATTTGCTTATAATATTAGCATTTTTTAGGACCATTGCACAACTATCAATTTAGCCACTTGAGCAGATTTAGCATCAACAGGCTGAATATCAAAATCTGGGAGGGACACCACTCACTACAGCTGTCCCGGTAGAAGACCCGTCAGTAAACACATTCTGTGCCCCTGCCAGAGGTTGTAAAGGAATAACTTTGGGGAAGCATACCAGATGATTTTAGAAAAAGGTGACCAACTTAGCAGAAGGATAATGATTATCAAACCTGCAGGGATTAGTGCATAAAAACAAGGCCCAATCTTTAGCAAAATTTTGCAGCCAAGTTCTTTTTGCCTGGGTATATGGTGTAGTAAACTTACTAGGTAACATTTTAAAGATTTGTAAACTAAGTTTATACCCTTTCTGAATAACATGTACACAGCTGATGGATACGAGATAACAATTTTTACAGGTGACGCATGTTCATGTACCCATAGGATGGGTCCTTGCTGCCAAAAAACTCCAGTAGTTCTATGCTGAGAGGGAAGAATTACCAACAGCAGAGGCTGACTATAATCAATATAATGAATATGAGCAGAGGGAAGCTGTTCTTCAATTAAAGTAATACATTGCCTTGCCCAAGGTGTCAACTTATGAAAGGAGGTTGGGTCTGGATTCCCCTGTAGAATGTCAAAGAGTGGTTTTAAGACTCTTGTAGGAATTCTCAGACTGGGCCGGACCCAATTGAGGTCTCCAAGCATTTTTGAAAATTATTTAAAGTTTGTAATTTATCTAAGCAAAGAGTAACTTTTTGTGGTTTTACTCCTGTCTGCAATAGCTGATGCCCCAAATACTGATATGGAAACTGTTGTTGTACCTTTTCAGAGGCTATTATCAATCACAGAACTATCAGGCCCTATACCTGGAAGGCCTTGGAACCTTTTCCCAATGAGCCCCCTTTTGATATTTTGGGCAAACACCTGGATTTCTCCTGGGCTGACTAACCCTTTACCCACAGGGCAGTTCCTTTTGCTGTGTTTCTAGTTGTGGTGCTGCTCAGTCCTAGCACACACCTTTTACCAAAAGCTTTCTGCTTAAATATAGTATTTTATTTTTGAGACAGGGTTTCTCTGTGTAGTTTTTAAGTCTGTCCTGGAATTCCCTCTATAGACCAGGCTGGCCTCGAGCTCACAGAGATCTGCCTGACTCTGCCTCCCAAGTGTTGGGATTAAAGGCATGAGCTACCAGTGCCCAGCTTTTTTTTTTTTCCAGGACAGGGTTTTTTTGTGTATCTTTGGAGCCCATTCTGGAACTAGCTCTTGTAGACCAGACTGACCTCGAGCTCACAGAGATCTGCCTGACTCTGCCTCCCAAGTGTTGGGATTAAAGGCATGAGCTACCAGTGCCCAGCTTTTTTTTTTTTCCAGGACAGGGTTTTTTTGTGTATCTTTGGAGCCCATTCTGGAACTAGCTCTTGTAGACCAGACTGACCTCGAGCTCACAGAGATCTGCCTGCCTCTGCCTCCTGAGTGCTGGGATTAAAGGCATGTGCCATCACCTTCAGCTATAAGTGATTTCTTGCTAGTAGTGTTTGTTACCATGTATCTGTACGGTGTCCATAGGGGCAATGAATGTCATGGAACAGGAGTTAAGGATGGTTATGAGCCATCATGTGGGTGCTGGTATCTGAACCTGGGTCCTCTGCAAGAGCAGCAAGTGCTCTCAAGCCCTGAGTCATCTCTTCAGTCCCTGGATCATGTTTTTTTTTAATAAACATAAATCTAAAGTAGGCTCAGCCTGTAAATCATTGAGTCTCCACTGGAAGCAGCACCATGATTCCCAGAAGTAGAGAGGGAGAGGGGACCTTGGGCAGAACAGAGGACAGATCTGAGATGAGACCCTGTGGATCCCTCTTCTCTGCCCATCCTACAACCTGGGTTAGATTCTGATAGATGGGAAAGAAGGAGAGAACCTCCAGGGAGGGGCCTGAAGGGAGGCAGGAGCTCAGGAGACTGAAGTTCATGTTCTCATCCCAGTCTCCTGAGTGCAGGGGCCTATTTGGGCTTTGAGGGGACAAGGACGGAAAACACCTCTTAATGCTGTTTCTCAGGGACCACACAGGATAATGAGGCAGACACCACTCACAGGAACAGGTCTAGTCCTTCATACTAACTAAAAAGACAAGAAATCAACACAGAAGCCAGTGGAAATATCACAGCCAGGGCAGCAGCCCTGGTGACCTGTCACAGCAGCCCTGGCGGCTCATAAACCTGGGGACAGGACAAGGCTCTGGCCATCCCAGTGTCCCTGTGATCACAGATGTCAGCATTTGGTTCTAAGTGATGAAGAGAACTGAGCAATGAGGAGACAGAGCTGAGGAGTGACCTGGTCAAAGCCAACAATGCACTGAGCTCTACCTGGGCACAGCCCTGTTCCCACTCAGCTCCCACAGCCTCATCCTGTCCCACCAGGTGCACACAGCACAGTGAACACAGATTCTGGGAGGTTCTCCATGTTGCCATTTATTTCCTCCATAAACTCTATCTCAATCCTTTATTTTATCACCAATCAACCTTTGAGATCAAGGACATGAATAATCAAGTTCACATTCAGATTCTTATTTTCAGTCGGGACGTCAGGGCTGCAGCTCAGGACAGCATGAGATGTCCCCTCCTGTCTGCAGGAACAGGAAGGTTGGCTATGGAAGGGAACAGGGCAATGCAGGGATAGGGGCCTGGTGTGCAGGGTGGGCTGACCTCCCCAGTTCTTCACACTGAGTCCATAGGATCGCAGGGAACATCAGACACTATTGCTGAGAGTGAACTGAGGGGCTCTTGATGTAGGAGGGTCTTCTGTCTATGTGTTACTTTCATTGGTTAATAAAGAAACTGCCTTGGCCTTTTGATAGGACAGCAGCTTAGATAGGCGAGTAGACCTAACAGAATGCTGAGAGAAAGAAATCAGAGTTAGGCAGACCCCATGAAGCTCCGGCCCAAGATGGACGTAGGTTAGAAACTTCCAGGTAAGCCACCACCTCGTGGTCCTACACACATTCATAGAAATGGGTTAGTCAGGATGTGAGAGTTAGCCAGTAAGAGGCTAGAGCTAATGGGCCAGGCAGTGTTTAAATGAATACAGTTTCCATGTAATTATTTTGGGTAAAGCTAATCGGTGGCCAGGAGCTGGGTGGGATGAAAAGCAAGCCTGCTTGCCTCATCACTACAGAATGGCGCCCGGACATGGATAACTGAATCCCCAGAAAGCCTGAGAAAGCTTGGGAAAGAATATAGTAAAGCATGTTTTCTTGGTAGCATCAATTTCTCGGGTCTACTCTGTTTGCTAGAGGCAAGTAAGCGCTCTTATCTAAGAGATGCTTCTTGACTTGCCGCACACTGCACCCTCGTGTCTGTGCTCTGTGCACTAGAACCCAGTTTTGCGAGCTACGGGAAAGAGGCTTGAGGTTGAGAATACAGACGCAGAGACAGACTGACACGTAGACCTTGTAACACTGATACCAAAAGCCTCCCTTTATTAACACCATGTAGACTTAAATACACTGCAGTCAATGGCCAATAGGTGATAATCCCATCCTCTGATCCTCTAGCTAGGCACAGCTTCTAGTAACTTCAATTAGAAGGTTCTAGCAGGGTAGAGCAGCTGAAAGCCAGGACTCAATTAATCCCAACATCCAGCTGAAGGTCAGGACTTAAGTGGTCCCAACACTGACTCAGCTTTAGCTGCAAATCCCTGCAGCTCTTTTAAGAGATCCTGCCACGAAACATTTAAATGGTGTTGATGAAAAGCTGAATACATGCTTTTTGGTTTTTGGCCATAGCAGGAAAAAAGCTGCGCCATTTTAAAATGCCGGCTTTCTGGGCCATCCTGCCAGGGCAAACTCTGACTCTTTCAGGCAGGCAGTCCGACTGAGTGTGGTTTGTGAGCAGAATGTTGCAGCTTGCTTGCTGGCAGGGACCTTGAAATGCCATAGAGTTGTGGCAATAAAAATGGCTACAGCCGGTACCTCAGCCATGAAAGCTAAAGAATTGTTGGATCTAGCCATCAAAGCCATGGCTTTAATTCTCTCCTTAGACTCATGTAGTTAGAAAAAGAGAGATATACAGTAAAGAGAGATTCAAAGACTAAGAAAATCTCTAAATGGTTTACAGTGTGTTAAAAATATATGCAGGGTAAAGGTTAAAGTTCTTTTTTCTATATTTATTTTATTTATTTATTATGTATACAATATTCTGTGTGTATGCCTGCAGGCCTGAAGAGGGCACCAGACCTCATTACAGATGGTTGTGAGCCACCATGTGGTTGCCGGGAATTGAAGTCAGGACCTTTGGAAGAGCAGGCAATGCTCTTAACCACTGAGCCATCTCTCCAGCCCCAAGGTTAAAGTTCTTAAAAGTAAAAAAGAAAAAAGGGAGTAATTGGGTGTGGTGGTACACACCTTTAATCCCAGCACTTGGGAGGCAGAGGTAGATTGAAGTCTGTGACTTCCTTCTTGGAGGCAGAGACTGACAGATATCTCTGAGAGTTCAAGGACAGACTGGTCTGCAGAGTTATTCCAGGACAAAGATATGCTCCTGCAACAGGCTCTGGATGTCACAGGAGAGACCTCAACACATCCATCCACACCAGGCAGCTGTATTCACGCTACAGAACAAGAGTCATGAACAATTACTGTGAAGACAACATCCCAACAACCCACCACTCACTCAAAGGTGATTCTGGGAGTCCCTGAAACCCAATCATGTCCACTCTGCCTCTCCCCAAGTCAGTCGCCGGAGGGTCACCTTTACAGTCTGGGAGAGACATATTGGACCTCTGGGAACTGTCCCTGCCTGGGGTAAATATATATATATATTCATGGGAATGTAAAAATTTGGCCCCTAGAAGATTTGCTGGAGGAGCTATTATGTATTGCCAGAGCTCCCCAAATACTCCAGCTTCACCCCACAGGCCTCAGGGACAATCCTGCCCACCACTCTTACCTGGAGCTGGAGCATAGTTGCCTCCTTTTCCACCTGTGAGAAGAAAAGCTGTGAGAGACCAGGGAAGTCCCCGACCCTAGGAAGCTACCAGAACTGACAGCAGACCCAGGGTAGAGACAGCAGCAATGAAGGATGTGGATGTGTTTCCCACTAACGAGGCAGAGATTCTTCTAAAAGGGGCTGAGAGAGAACTCAGACCCTGCCCTTTCCTACCTTTGCTTCTCATCCTCTTCTTCACAACAGCCACCACAGCTCCATTGGCCACAGTTCCAATGATGGTCACAGCTCCAAGGAGAACCAGACCAGCAATGACTGCCATGATGAGGACCGTGGACTGAGGAGGCTCTGGGAAGGGAAGGTGAGGGTCATGACCCCAGCTCTCAGCCCTGACACTGCTCAGGGTCTGCAGAAGGCTCCAATTTTCCCTGACCCCAGCTCTGCACCTACTCCCTCCTTACCCCATCTTAGGGTCAGGGGCTCAGGCAGCCCCTCATGGTGCACATGGCATGTGTATTTGTGCTCCTCCCCAGAAGGCACCACCAGAGATGCCCACTTCTGGAAGGTTCCATCCCCAGAAGGTCTGGTCTCCACCAGCTCCATATCCTGAGTCTGTTCCTCCTCCTCCCTCTGCCAGCTCAGGGTGATGAAGGCAGGGTAGAAGCCCAGGGCCCAGCACCTCAGGGTGACATCACCATTAGATCCAGGATGATGGGTCACATGTGCCTTTGGGGGATCTGTGTGGAAGGTTTAAGAAACCCCACAATTAACAAGATAAAGTGAAATCTGCAAAGACAAAGTTAAATCAATGATGACACTGAACTATGTGACTGTTTGAACACTTCATTACACCTGCAGGTAGAGCTGGTCCCCACATCACAGAACTGCAGTTTCCTGGGAACCCAGAAGCTAAGAGGGAATCCACATGAGCCAGCAGGTCACCATCCTTATGTGATGTTCTATAGCATAAGTTATGTAGGAAAAGGATGAAAGAATGGAAAATAATAAATTTATATATGTGGTTAAATTCACATAAAAATAAGAGACTAAGAAGAAGGAGGTACATGAGGTGCCACCAACTTCTGCTGCCACCATTGAGGCACAATCACTGTGGCCATCTTGCTGACCAGCATTAACTCTCTCACCAACTAGGGGGCTCCGAATGTCTAATTCTGGCAGAAAATAGTCTAAGCTCCCAGGAATCTTTCTCGTTTAAAGGGAACACTGACTTGCTCCAAATCTATGGAGAAACCATCTCTCAAGAAAAAACCAACAACAACAAAACAAACAAAGAAAACCCCCTACTGAATTAACTTGTTTAGTTATTCAGAGTGTCAGTCCCCACGGCACCTGTGGAGACTGATACACATGATAACATAAGGGGAGGAAGAGAAGGAATACCTTTCCAGTGAGGAAGAAAAACTCACTAAAAGGAAAATGACAACTTTGAAAATAAAACCAAACATACAAAAGAATGAAAGAAAAAACGAAGAGAAAAAACCCTCCACAATTTGTCCAGGGCTCCCCTAAGTTCCCACGTGACCATACTAGGAGACAGAATTGGGGTGTGGGAAGGATGCAAACCTCACACACAGGCATCTGAGAGGATGTATTCTTTGGAAAGTTCTAGAAACTGGGGAAGCAGCCTAGGGTAGGGGCATCCATGTCTCCCATCAGGTGAAGGAGACTCTGGTCCTGGTGTGAAAGGGCTGACACACTCAGATGACAGGACTCAGTGTCCACACACACTGGGTGTGGGCAGAGAACCCGGCCTGGGAGAGGCCATGGCTGACAGGGGCTGCAGACTGAAGGAGCCACTGTTGGTGATGTCGGGATCCTCTCTCCTCCCTCCTGAGACAGGTGTGGAACTGTCCAGGGAGAAGGCTGAGCCCTGGGAGGTCAGTGCAGTCCCTGCCATGCTGGATCAGGAGACCCAGGGACCCTGTCTGCCCTCAGAGACAGGGGCATGACCCCAGTGAGGGTTTCCTCTTCCTCTTGACTGAGCCCAGCCCGAGGGCAGAGGGAGGAGTTGCCCGCGACCCCCGCACCTATGCGCAGCAGCGCGTCCTTCCCGGTCTCCAGGTATCTGCGCAGCCAGGGCACGCACTCGTCCTCCACGTAGGCCTTGTATCTCTCTGCCTCCCCATCCTGCTCCCACTTCCGCTTGGTGATCTGCGCCGCCACGTCCGCCGCCGCCCACGACGTCAGGTCCTCGTTCAGGGCGATGTAATCGCGGCCGTCGTAGGCTTCCTGACGGTACCCGCGGAGTAGGCGCCCGTCCGACCCCACCTCACAGCCGTACATCCATTGGATGGTGTGAGAGCCTGCGGGGACCCCGCGGTCAGCCCCGCCCACCTGTTCCGCCCCCGTCACCCACGCCCGCGGCCCCGCCCACCCGCGGCCTCTAAACCGAAAGGGAAACCGGGTCCGGTCCCCGCTCTCCTCCCGAACCTCGGACCTGGGACCCGGGGCGACTCCGGCCCGTGCGTGGGGACGAGGAGGGGTCGTGACCTCCGACCGCGGTCACTCACCGCCCTCGCTCTGGTTGTAGTAGCGGAGCGCGGTCCTCAGGTTCCCTCGGTAAATCTGCTCGTTGTTCTTGGCGATCTGTGTCTGCCTCTCCCAATACTCCGGCCCCTCCTGCTCCATCCACGGGGCCCGCGGCTCCATCTTCGGAGTCTCCGCGTCGCTGTCGTAGCGCACGAACTGCGTGTCGTCCACGTAGCCGACAGAGATGAACCGGGGCTGCCCGAGGCCGGGCCGGGACACGGCGGTGTGGAAATACCGCAGCGAGTGCGAGCCTGCGGGCGGCGCGCGGTGAGACCCCGACCCTGCTCCCGGGACCCCGGGCAGGAGCGCGGGCCGCGAGGGGAGCAGGGCGCGGGGCTCGGGACGCGAGTGGGGAAGGGGCGGGAGGGTCCGGCTGGGCCACGCGGGGACGCGGCTTCCCCGGTGCCTACCCCGCCCTCCCCGCAGAGCCCGGTTCCCTCC